CCTCGTGCCAGTGAGCGCCGCGCGCCGCCGCAGCCATGACGGTGGAGTTCGAGGAGTGTATCAAGGACTCGCCTCGCTTCAGGTGCGCCCGCGGGGCGCGCCCTTTGTGGTCGCCAGGGTCGCCGCCCCCTTGGGACACCCGGGGCGACCGGGGGATGGGCGCGGGGCGGGGACATCTGTGCCGCCTTTGTGCCCGGCGCGGAAGCCGGTGTCGGGTGCTGGAGGACCCCGCCTCGGACAAAGCCCGCAGCGCTCCGGCCGATGGGCCGGAACAAAAGATGCCCCTTGTGTTGGTCACCTCGCGCGGAGAATGCGCGCGCTGGGGCGGGACTGCCGCCGGCCCGGCCACCTCCCCGTGGGAGTGTCCATCCTCGCTTTGTGTCTGCACCTTCGTGCTAGCCACCTGCACAAGGCTGAGACCCTCCCCGGCCCTGCGGTCCCGCTCTCGTTAGAGCTATATGGGCGTGTGGGGCGGCTGTCCCTGGAGTCTGTCTTGGTCCGTGGCTGGCTGCTTGGCTGGGGTGTCCTAAGGAGCCTGGAGGGGTGGGGGCTGGGCTGAGCAGACTGGCTGTCAGGTTCTGGTGAGAGGTTTTGGGTTGTGGCCCACCCTGAGTTGATGATTTTAGCCCTTCCTGGGAGTGCAGCGTGCTCATCCGTAGACCCCAAGTGCTCACGATTGTGCACATCTGCCTTAACGGAGTGCCAGGTGCACAAGTGTGAGCTATGTCGGTCTGCGCTCTCTCGAGGGGCCACAGCTTGGACGTGAATGTGTGGTGAGCTGCAGCCCTGTGCTGGCACGCTTGCGTGTGTGCAGATTAGTGATGGGTGCACACGTGTGTGCACGTGTCAGCTCTCAGTGTGGACACATACACATACTGTGTGTTTATCGTGCTCATGAGTGTTGGCACTAAACACACGTTACTTTGCTTGTGTGTATCCCAGCACTGGGTACACGCATCTCTGCACATGTGTGTCTGTGTATGCCCGGTGTCACTGCCAATCTAGTGCATGCACACTAGATTGCACATAAGCATATCTACCATGCCTTTGCACATGTGTGCTTGCTCGTGTGTATATGTGTGTTGCATGCTGGATCTCTGGGATGTGCCAGCAAGAGGGCCTGTGTGTGGGTACACCAGTGGGCCTCAGCATGGGTGCTCTTCCCTTGTGTCTCTGGAGCCAGCCCCCTGCACAGCCGCCTCACAGGGACTCATTGACAAAGGTCTGGCGGGGCTGGAGTGAGGGGCCTGGTTGGTCCCTAGTGGCCTAGGCCCTGGCAGAGAGGTGGGGGCGATCCTCTGAGTTCTCCTCGCCTCTGTTGCTGCCTAATTGAGGGCAGGGGTGTGAGCAGCTCAGGCCCTCACCATTGCCCGCTGTCCCCCAGGACCCAGGCTATGGGCGCAGTGGAGCCAGGCCTCAGCCTGGGTCCTGGCTGGGTCCTGGCTGAGGCATCCTAGCCTTGTCCTGGCCCCTTGCGTGGAAGGGTCCAGGCCCACCTTGTCCAGTCAGATTGGGGTCACCGGCACCCCATACACCTCCAGGCCTTCCCTCCCACACCAGCCTGCTTTGTCTGTGACACCCGCAGTGGGTGCGGTGGCTTTGCCATGCTTCCTCTGGCAGGGAGGGGCTGCCCTGTGGAAGTGCCCAGCCAGGCCTGGGGGAGGGGCTGAGTAGAGTCACCCGGGCCCTGGGCCTCAGAAGCTGCACTCTGGGTTTCGGGGCTGGGCTGAGATTTAGTGGGGCTTCGAGGCCACCCTGAGGTCTCCTTGTCCACTCACCCTCAGGTGCAGAAGAGGATGTAACCTGGGCTTCCTGGCAGCTGGCCCTGAGCGTGGCAGGGTGGGGCAGGCCAGGAGGATGTGGTCAGTGATGTGGGGACAGATGGCCCAGCTCTGGGAAGGGGACCCTGCCCGTAGGTTCCTCACCTGGGGAGATACCCACAACCCCCATGCACATGGCTTGGAGCGGGGCATCCAGACTCTCCCAGACAGGCCTGGGCCTCCACCCACCCCTTGTTCTTGGTGCCCCCTCCTCTGGGTGGGGCTTTAGGTGCTGAGTCATGGCTTTGGGAGGTGTGGCGGCCTCTCCCTTCTCCCCATCCTCCAAGCTTCGGGAAGAAATCCTGGAGGGAAGGCAGCAGAGAAGGCCTAGGGTCCCGGGAGGCCAGGGAGGGGAGAGCTGGCGCACTGGCTCCTGGTGCAGCCCTGCCCTCGCCGCTGTCCAGGGACCAGGCAGCTGCCCAGGGCACTTGGGGTGGCTGAGGCTCCGAGGCCATGTCTCCCTCTGCAGCATGCTCTCCTGGGTGGGTGGTCCTTCCTTGCCCTGGGACCTTCTGAGGGGGAGGGGAGAGGCTAGAGCGTGGTCAGGGTCCCTGGGATCTCAGCTCCCTGCAGTTGGCCACACCTCAGGCAGTTCAGGCCGGGCTGCTGAAGGGCTGTTCTGGCTGGACTGCAGGGCACCCTGCTGACGTCTGGGCCACCTCAGGTCCAAGCAGATGTCCCCTGAGCCCCTGAGGAGCCCCAGTCCCACCAGGGTGACTGGTGAGGACCTTACAAGGTCCTGGTTGGGGCGCCTGGTGCCCTCACAGCTCCTAACGGAGATCGTGCTGAGCTGCACCCCACGTGAGGGACTCGCCCTGCCTGGGCCTGGGGAACCCTGGGAACACGCCCCTCTGCTGCCGGCTTACCTCCGCCCACCCACCTGAGACCTGTCCCTGGAGGCCTGCCTCTCACCCCTGGACTGAGCCCCATTCCCATTGTCCCTTGTCCCCAGGGGGCCAGATGGGCCCGGCTCACCAGCTGAGTAGGTTGGGGGGGGCACCAGGATCCTGGCCCCATTTCCCTATTTCCTGTTCCCGGAGCATGGGGGTCACGTGCCCGACCCATCTGCCTCTGCCTTCCGGGGATTCTCCCAGTGGCTCCTCTGGTGACGTCATGCATTAACTCTCCCCTCCCCAGACAGCCCACCATCAGGCTGCCCAGGGGGAGGAGGTCCTCCAGAGCCTGACCCACCCCTCTGGGCAGACCGTGCCATTCAGTGTTCTGAGGGTGGGGGACTCAGGGTCTCTGGGAACCAGAGACAGCGACTGCCCAGTGCTCTGGGCTTTGGCCAGACAAGCTTGCTCCTGGGCCAAAGGTGCCAGGCTGGGGTGGGGGTCAACTCTGGGCCCCGGAGAGAGATGGGCACTGGGCAGGAGGATGGCCAGCAAGGCTGGTCCCTGCCCCACACGTGTACCTGTCCTAAGGGCCACAGCAGCCGGACCCCAGATGGGGCATCACATCTGACTGGGGTGTAGTAGGCGCTGAGTGTCTCTGGAGTCAGCTGGACCTGGGTCCCTGTCCAGGCCCCTCCTTCTTGGGTGGTGGCTGAGTCTCCCAGCCTCCATTCCTGGCCTGTCTGAGGGGTATGGGGTGGGAAGGGGGCCCACAGGAGCAAGTGGCCTTCAGCCGAGCAGCCACTTCACACTGCGGTGCCAGCGCGCTGGCTGCAGGCTGACCGCCGGCCACCCCGTCCCCATTGCAGGGCGACCGTCGATGAGGTGGAGACAGATGTGGTCGAGATCGAGGCCAAACTGGACAAGGTGAGGGAGGGCGGGGCGCACTTGGTGTAGGGCTGCCGTCTGCTCCCGCTCCTGGCCACCTGTGCGTGCGCACGCGTGGGGTCGCGCGTGTGTTCACGTGTGTGTGAGTGTCTGCTCCTGTGCCCGGCCATCTGTGTGTGCGCACGCATGGGGTCGCGCGTGTGATCACGTGTGTGTGAGTGTGTCTGCTCCTGTGCCCGGTCACCTGTGCGTGTGCATGCGTGGGGTCGCGTGTGTGAGCGCGTGTGTGTTGCACATGGGGCGTGCAGCCTGTGTGTCCTGCACGAGACATGGCCGTGTCCCCCACTTGCCCCAACTGCCTTCTGTGCCTGTCCCAAGTGCCATGGTGCCCACACACGGTGTCTGCCCCTAGGTCTCCCATCAAGTGGGGGTGGGCCTTGGTGAGTTCCCTACAGCCTTGTCTTTGGGGGAGGAGACAGCCGCTGGGGGCTGAGCCTCTGAGTGACTGGGTTGAGGGCTAAGGGGAGAGGTAGGGGAGGCAGGTGGGGCAGCGTCCCTGAGCCCCCCACCGGCCAGTCCTGCTGACCCTTGGCCGGCACCACGTGCCTACGCCAGCCTCGGGTTCTCTGCTCAGGGCATCCCTGTCCTG